AAAAAAAGAAAATATTTAGTGATAAATAACGATTATAACTTCTTTCTAGAGAAAAATGCTGTTTCTTCTTTGATTAATGTAATTAGATATGTTTTCGAATACAAAATATTGACTGATCTATATCGAAAAACAGAGTATATCGATAAAATCAATGTTAACTTTTTTCTTATGAAAGTGTTTCTTTTCTTTATTCTAAATAATATTTTAAAAAAACATTTTTTATCATACTTTGTTACAAAATAGAAGCATTAGAAAAAGTTTCTTGTACAAACTGCTACGCTAAGGATTATGTTTATTAATAGAGAAGTATCTGTCATTACATTATGTTGGTATTGTTTTTCGATAGATCATATCTTCTTCTAACCTCGATATCATCAATGAAGTTAAAAGAATAAATTGATATCACTATCTGTTAATGGGTTAGTTACTTAAAGTGAAACACTTATCTGCTCCAAGAACTACGACAAGATAGAAACTATTTATCTCCAGCTATATTTTAAAGTCATATTAAATGTAAACATAATATTAATATCATTTCTTTCCATAGTCTACCCTTTTAGAATAAAAGAAAGATCTTGTAAAAAAGTGAATTTCATAGCTAATGTAAATGTTAATAAATTTTTGGTAGTAACTATTTTCTTCATATATTTCAAAGTTTATAGTCTTTTATATTTAAAACAGAATTTTAGAAAAAAACACGTTCCTGTCAATGACGGTGAACATCTAACAAACACTTATAATATTTCCATTATAACGAAGAGTGGGTCTTTTGAACTGCACGACAATTATTTTTCACGCAATTATTATTGACTATTATTTGGTACTCATTGCTGATCTTGAACACCGCATCGCACTACTATGTATTCCACGAGCTATATAGACACGTGCTATGAGATATATCTAAAGATACTAAAATACTCCCATTTTAGTTTGAAATTGAAAGCAATTTTGTTTTTCAATTCAGATTGAAATTAAATAGATGATTGTATGATATTTATTCTATTTATTTTGTGTGAAACTACAAAAGAAAAAGAATTACATTATTAATTATTAAAAACTATTGTTACATTCTTATTTCAACTATTGTTAGTATAGTGAGAAAAGTTTTTTTCTTAACATTTCACATCCATTATAATCAAAACAAATGATAAAAAATGTCTACAGTTTATTTTAGTTAATTGATTTCTTTCTCTGTAGTTGTTGCTTCATTTGTATCCAATGATGAATCAATAGAGTTGTATCGAAAATAGAGTTTACGTGCTGGTTTTTGTGGTAAATATTTTTTTAATTTAGCAATAAACTTAAAAAAAGTACCAAATGATAATGGATGCTCTTCTTTCGGATTATTAAGTAATCCATACATTATGTCAGGTTTTGCTTCACAGGAATGACGAAATTCAATTAATGCTTCACCATCCATCGATTCACAAATAGGTATTAATTGATCAAGTTTATTATCAGTTAAAAATTCCTTGACATGTTGTTCATTCCACATTGATGCTAAAGGAAAGTTTAAATATTCTCTTGTTTCAAAACAAAGTTCTTCAGGTTCTGTTTTGAGTTCTTCAGATTTTTCGGTTTCTTCATGTTTAGATCCTGTTTCAGCTGCAGTTCCACCAGTGATTGTATTGTCTTTACCTTTATCGGTATTGTTCAATCCATTTCGTTTAAGTTCTTCTATTAGTAAGTCATATGATTTATCAAATTCTTCTCCTTCTTTATCAGCAAAATCAATATATATTTTTGAACCAGCCAAAAATCCTAACCATCCATCAGCCTTATATTCAGGCTCAACAATAAGTGGAATTATTTTACTTTTTCGATTAAATGCATATTCAGCTTCAGCTTTACAATTCGTACTCTTCTTATAATTACTTGACATACAAATAAGTACAAATCGTGATTGTTCAATAGCTTCAGCCATACATTCAATAATTGATCCACGCATTTCATCTCTATCTAACCAAACTTTATAACCATCTTGTTCTAAACGATCATTTATTTTATGACATAATGGTTGTTGTGCCCAACAATATGAAATCATCATATCATATGGTTTTGATTCTGTATCAGGGCTCTCTTTTGATGTTTCTACTTGATGTTTCTTTTTTTCTTCTTCTTTTTGTTTAAATTTTTCTTCATCTTCCATTTTCCACATAATACCATGTGCCATTTTTGAAACATCCTTTTTTTCAGAATCACGTAATTGTTTTATATGATCGACAAATTCTGTATCTTCACGAATCATTTTTTTTGCCTCAGTATTAAATGTCATTGCAAAGACTATTTCTAATGGTACTGGATTATCATTTGTTTCTTTTGCAAATTTTATTATTGATGGTAATGCATTTTGTTTAATAACCTCTTCTTTAACATCTTCATTTTGTACCAAGTCTATGAAAAACAAAATAAATAAAAAGCAAAATTTTTAAAAAGAATAGTGTGCAATTTCTATACCTGCAAGTCCTTTTAAAACTTCATCGGCTTTGTTAGTTTTTCCATCTTCAAGGGCAGCATTAAAATTTTTAACAAAGAGTCCAGTTACTTGTTCTGTATTGTTTTCTTTTCGAAATTCTTCTTCTGATACTAATAATGAGGTTAATTCTATTGCTTTTAATTGTATTTGTTCGTTACTTTCATTTTTTGATAAATCATTTAATATTTTGATTAGATCAGTTTTTGCATCGCTTTTATTTTTTAAGTCATTTAATAAAATTCTATCACATCGAATCATTTCAATCAATAAACAAAGTGACGTATAAATGACTTTACTACGTGGTCCTTCAGCATGTGAATCTTTTGTTGACGTATTCAGAAGTATAATTAGAATAATATCATACATAGGTTTTCTTTGTTCATATGGTAATGATGGAATAAATGATAAAACAAATTTTATTGGATAAAATAAACATAACATAACTGATGTTGTCCATTGTTTAATATGAGGAAGAAAATCAGAAAGTAGTCCATCATAACGATCTAATATTTTGTTAGCTATTTTTGAAGAGTGAGTTTTATCTGTATCACAAGTAATAATATAGTTTGGACAAGTAACAAGAAGAAAATGTTCAGTAACATTTAAAGATGTTACATTAGCTTTAATCAAACCACGTAAAGCATCAATATAAAAACGACTAGTTACACATTTAACAAGCATATCAAGTAATTGTTTACATTGAACATTTTCAAATGCTTGA